CTTATCACTATTTTCTCTGCCCTTTCTTAGTTCCAGTTCTGACTGCATCTTACGTTGGAAAGCCTTTGAAACTTATGGAATATGTCTGTTCCTCATTTTCTCAACTTTTTATTTAAATGCTCTCAATTATCACTTTGTCTAAAAAATAAAATAGTAAGAACGGCTTTTTATCAAAAAGTCCCCAAAAAACCGATGCTGGTGTGAATGCAGAGAGAAAAGTGCACGTATACACTGTTGGTGGGACTACAAACTAGTTCAACCCCTATGGAAAGTAGTATGGCACTACATCAGAGAACTAAAAGTAGACCTACCATTTGATCCAGCAATCCCACCACTGGATGTTTATCCAAAGGAAAAAAAAGGCATTTTATAAAAAAGACACTTGCACTCGAATGTTTATAGCAGCACAATTCACAATTACAAAGATGTGGAAACAACCCAAGTGCCCATCAATACATGAGTGGATCAATAAAATGTGGTATTTGTATACCACGGAGTATTACTCAGCAAAAAAATGGTGCACTAATACCTTTTGTAACCACCTGGATGGAACTGGAGACCATCCTAAGGACCTACGTGAAATATCGCAAGAATGGGAAAACAAACATGACGTGTACTCACTATTAAATTGGAACTAAATGATCAACACTCATGTGTACATGTGGTAGTAAAATCCAACAGAAATCAAGCAGGTGGGTGGGGGAAGGATGGGATGGGTTAATTCACACCTAACAGGTACAACGCACATTATCTGGGTGATGGGCACACTTACAGCTTTGACTCAAACTGTACAAAAGTAATTCCTGTAACCAAAACATTCATACCCCCATAATATTCTGAAATTAAAAAAAAAAAAGAGTAAGTGAAATGCAACAGGAAAACACACATTAATAAACTGATCACTTATAAAATTAGATCTAACCGCAAATACCTTCCCTTTTAACACAGACCATCTGTTATTATCCACCATGCTTTTGTTTTGGCAGGGTCAGTTTAGCAATGATTTTTTTGGATGTTTGCAACCACATGATATAAATACAATGTAAGGCGAAATTGTTGATCTTGCAGAAGTTAGGATTTCTTGAAGTCAGGGAAGGTGATGGTGGAGAACTTATATCACGTAAATAGTAATTGATGACAACAAAGACCCATCTTTTCATAAATGATGTCATGATGTCATATATTGTGACATCATATACTTTTGTTAGAAAATTAACATTGAACATAATTTTAATTCTAAGAATTCATGCATGCTTGTCATATATGATAATTTTTTTGAAATAAGGTGATATAGTTGCTTAATTTTAATTTTTTTAGGGAAAAATAATTTTTTTTCATAATTTATTCTGAAATGTTGGTACCTGGTTATTGGGCTTTTTGCAGGAACCAGAAACTATGCAGGTATATTAAACAAAAGAGTTTGCTACATAAACTTAGGTATTTTTATGAAAAGGTTAAGAAATTTAAAGGATGTACTTTGCTAAGGAATCATAGAGAACTGGTCTACCAGAGGAGCTAAAACTTTTGAGGCCACCATTGCAAATTAGAGTGTGAACATTGGAATGTTGCTCAAGAGAAGCTCTAAGTTTAAAACAATTTTTTTAAAAAATTTTATTTTGATAGATTTAGAGATACAAGGGATTTTTGTTTACTTGGGTGAATTGTACTGAAGTGATGTCTGGATTTTTAGTGTACCCATCAATCGAATAGTGTACTTTGTACCCGATAGGTAGTTTTTCTTCCATCAGCCTTCCCATCCTCTCCCCTTCTAAGTCTCCCATGTCCATTTTACCACTGCGTATGCCCCTGCATACCTGTAGCTTAGCTCCCATTTATTAGTGAAAATATGCAGTGCTTGGTTTTCCATTCCTACATTACTTCACTTAGGATAACCATCTCCAGTTCCATCCAAGTTGCTGCAAAAGACATATCATCCTTTTTATGGCTGAGTAGTATTCCATGATGTGTATATACCACATTTTCTTTATCCACTCATCAGTTGATGAGCACTTAAGTTGATTATATATCTTTACAATTGTGAACTGTGCTGTAATAAACATATGAATGCAGGTATCTTTTTGATATAACAAATCTTTTCCTTTGGGTAGGTATCTAATAGTGGAATTGCTGGATCAAATGGTAGATCTACATTTAGTCCCTTGAGAAATTTCCATACTGTTTTCCATAGGGGTTATGCTAATTTACATTTTCACCAACAGTGTGTAAGTGTTCCCTTTTCACTATATTTGCACCATCTATTGTTTTGTGACTTTTTAATAATGGCCATTCTGACTAGGGTAAGGTGGTATCCCATTGTGGTTTTTACTTGCATTTCTCTGATGATTAGAGATGTTGGAGAAGCTCAAACTTTTGAGATTTTAATTGCTAACAGAACAGTCAAGACACACAGGAATATGATTATCACCTCATTCCACTTACTAAATCTTGCATGTGACTGCAAGGATAGACCTAGATGCAAAAGGAGTCTGTAAATGTAGTTTTTTATTCCCATTTCTATAAATAGAAGGGTGGGAGTAGAAGTTGGGAGTGCCAATCCAAAGTAACTGAAGAAAATTTCTTAAGTGGATTTCACTTAAGATATATTTTTTTCTGTTACCAATTATCATGTGTAATAGGATCCCCTTTTACCTTTTTCTTCCTGGCTATATAAATTAGAAAGGTTAAAAAAGGCCCAGGAATTTTCTCAGTCACTAGTACTATGACTTCTGTTATCACTAACTTTTGGTACTGTGTTGGACTAAGCAGCCTGTACATATGGGGGCACAAATCCACGTAGAAAGGGGTATAACAATTGCTACTGTGCTAGGTCATATGACTTACAATCACTTTCTTTGTGTGTGTTTTTGAAAGTGTCCTTTAAGTTTTATGCTGTTTTCATTATATTCAAATCTATAGCAAAAAAGAGCTGGCCTAGGTAATGACATTGACAAACTGAGTTTTGGAAAACTCTTCCAGAATCTACTTCTTACATGTCATTCATCAACTAACCTCTTTGTGTGATCACCATTAATGGAAAAATGAGAACCCTAGTTAGGTACCAGGATAACTCCAGAAATACTAATGATTCAAGGTCACTTTTAAGAGTATGCTGGAAAAATGAAAATAATCTATACATTTTATTAATCTAGTATAACAAAGAAATATTGAATAGTTACACTTTTATTAGGATAAATTTGGTTGCTAGTTTTTTGGCTTTTGATTTATTTTTGTACTTACTAGCATCATAATTGGAAAGTGGAATTAAGTGTAATGGTCAAACAGGATATTAAAATTGTTTATTACCGTTATTTCTTTTACCATGGACTACTTAGAAATATATGGCATGATTTTCCAAACTGTGTGTTACAATTCTCTAGTCTTTTCTGTAGACATTGGTGAAAAATAGTGACTTAAATGGGATGTGTGTGTGTGTGTGTGTGTATACATATATATATATATAAATACCTATACCTGTACTTATATATAAATACCTATACTTATATATAAAGTACCTCTTGAAATTTTGCCTCACAATTTAAAGTGTGTTACATTCCTTTATTAATTGGAAAGTAAATTATTTTCTTTTTCAGTTTCCTTTCACAGTAGGGGCTACTTGGTATAGTTCTCCTTAGCTCTCAGCAAACATCATAATTGATCTTCCACAAGTTAAATTTAGTAAAAGATAGAGTTTCCAGGGAAAAAAAAATCACAGGGGTTAGGATTAAGACCATTAGGTTTATACCACCTCTTCCTCCATGAGGGTGGAGGAGGGGGAACTAGTTCTGAAGATTTTTGTCACATATATATAGTACCAAAAATGCTTCATTTATAGTAAATACCCATTTCTGTCTTGTCCATCTGCATTTTTTCCATTGCAAATGGGTTGGATATCTGTTTTGGATTTAATAAAGAGTAAAGAATATGTTTGGTTTTTACTTTGTGGAGACTTTTCTTGGATCTACAGTTTAATCTTAGTAAGCAGGATAAGAGTTTAGTTTTATATTTAATATCTTCTTTATATTTCCTCTTAATTATTCTTCCACAGTATGTAAAAATCAGGTTTGGAGTAGAAGCTTCAGCCTCCCTTGTGGAGAAGATGTGTGTGGATGTGGACCTAGGGCTCTTCATTGTGGCCTCTGTTGGGATTGTCTTTGAAAAGCCCCAGAACACTGTGAAGAAACGATTCTCAGCACGAGAACTGTCTGACCCTCTCTTTCTCTTTCGTTCCAGCCTCCAGTGAGCAAATCCACATCTGTATGAGCAGCTGTCTGACGCTGCAGTTTTCACAGGACTGGATCTTGTCCTCCCTTCTCTTCTACTTCATCTTCCTTTCTCTTCACCCTTTCCATCCTCTCTTTTTATCTTTTATTTATATTTAATTTTCCCATAGGGTTTCCCCCTTCTTTCTACCCAAAACTTTTTTTTTTCCCTTGACAGATTCCTAGTCGACTGTGAGTCTTGGGAAGGGAAGACTCTGGTTAGACATGAGGGTGACCCATACGTGTGTTGGCACAGTTGTTATCAGCTGTCTATAAATGGTAGAGAACTGTCAGTTATCACTTTTTGAAATGCCTTGGGTAAGATACTAAAGTTCTAGTAAACATGATATAAGTGGTGTGGCACATGCTCATAAGGTATATGACCACACCCATGCAGAGGTCAAAAATATTTCACACATTCTTACTGGGGACTCGTTCAGTGTCAGGAACCTCCTAATAGCAAATGTCACTAGGCAGGAAAGAGAGAAGCCTGCCTTAGAAATATACTGGTTTATCACACAGAATTTTCTTCCCTGTTCTCAGTGGTCTACTTGTCCTCAATGAAAGCATCGAAATCCAAGGGTGGAAATGAGGAGACACATAGAAACATTAACAGTGTATTTCTGTGGAGGGATTTTTCTGGAAGTATGATAACAAACAAATATGATTTTGCTTAATTTTTGATATTTGGATTTTTCCTTATTTCATACTTAACTGTGGTCTGTCCTCGTTGCCCCCCAGGAAGTTTCTGACATGAAGTCTGAGGGACAGGCGACTGTAATTCAGCAACTGGAGCAGACCATCGAGGACCTGAGGACCAAAATAGCTGAACTAGAGAAGCAGTACCCTGCCATGGACATGGAGGTGGCCAGTGGCCATCAAGGGGTTGAGAATGGAGTGGCACCTTCAGAAGATGTCTGTTTCGAAGCTCTCAGGTTAGGAGAAAACGATGTTCGGCATCAGAGGATTTTACAGGCAAAGTCCATACAGACTTCCCCGACGGAGGAGGGCGGGATGCTGCCGCCGCCGCCCGGGAACGCGCTGTGGGAGGCGGCTCCGGGCCCACCGGCGGCCGAAAGCGGAGAGTCGGCCATTCCCTCCTCGCCGTCTGGACCTCAGACAAAGTTCTGTTCCGAGATTTCGTTGATCGTGTCTCCAAGGAGAATATCAGTCCAGCTGGATGCCCAGCAGTCCATACAGGGCATCTCACAGCCTCCACCACCTCCATCCCTTCCGTGGTCTGATGGTCAAGGACAGCCTGGGGCACGGCCGTCCCATCCTTCTCTTTGTACTCAGTTTGACACCAGCCATGAACACTCTGTTTCCTCCTCCTTGGAAAACAGCTATAACATCCCGTCCCCACCACCGCTGCCTTGCACAGAGTCCTCCAGCTCCATGCCTGGCCTGGGCATGGTGACTCCCCCATCTGCCCCTCTCCCTGGCATGACAGTGCCTGCGATACCCGGCGCGGCCATCCCCCCACCTCCTCCTCTGCCGGGTATAGACATGCTGCCACCCCCTCCCCCTCCTCTTCCCGGAGTGGGAATTCCTCCTCCTCCCCCTCTACCCGGAGTGGGGATACCCCCTGCCCCACCTCTACCCGGATCAGGAATACCTCCTCCTCCCCCTCTTCCCGGAGTGGGGATACCCCCTCCTCCCCCTCTACCTGGATCAGGAATACCTCCTCCTCCACCTCTTCCTGGTACAGGAATACCCCCTCCCCCTCCTCTACCTGGAGTGGGAATACCGCCTGCCCCCCCTCTTCCTGGTATGGGAATACCCCTTCCCCCTCCTCTTCCCGGAGTGAGGATACCCCCTCCTCCCCCTCTACCTGGAGTGGGGATACCCCCTCCCCCACCTCTTCCTGGTACAGGAATACCCCCTCCCCCTCCTCTACCTGGAGTGGGAATACCCCCTCCCCCACCTCTTCCCGGTATGGGAATACCCCCTCCCCCTCCTCTTCCCGGAGTGGGAATACCCCCTCCCCCTCCTCTACCTGGAGTGGGGATACCCCCTCCCCCACCTCTTCCTGGTACAGGAATACCTCCACCCCCTCCTCTACCTGGAGTGGGAATACCCCCTCCCCCACCTCCTTCCCGGTATGGGAATACCCCCTCCCCCTCCTCTACCTGGAGTGGGAATACCCCCTCCCCCTCCTCTACCTGGAGTGGGGATACCCCCTCCCCCACCTCTTCCTGGTACAGGAATACCTCCACCCCCTCCTCTACCTGGAGTGGGAATACCCCCTCCCCCACCTCTTCCCGGTATGGGAATTCCTCCTCCTCCTCCTCTACCCGGAGTGGGAATACCCCCTGCCCCACCTCTACCCGGATCAGGAATTCCTCCTCCTCCCCCTCTTCCTGGAGTGGGAATACCTCCTCCCCCTCCTCTGCCAGGTATGGGGATTCTACCTGCTCCAGGTCCCCCTCTCCCTCCGCCTGGGACAGGAATCCCCCCACCGCCTCCACCCCCTCTGCTTCCCGGATCAGGACCTCCACTCCCCGCCCAAGTTGGCAGTAGCACTTTATCAACACCACAGGTGTGTGGATTTCTTCCTCCTCCGTTGCCGTCCGGATTGTTTGGACTAGGAATGAGTCAGGACAAAGCGAGTAGGAAGCAGCCAATAGAGCCTTGTCGCCCAATGAAGCCTCTTTATTGGACAAGAATTCAACTGCACAGTAGAAGGTAACACGACAGCGAGCTCATCTTTGCACAGTTTGTCCATACGAAAGGAGAATTTTACCTTAAAACTCTTGGGAAAATTACGATTTAATGTACTTTTTAAGCATAGCTCTAAAACTTTCTGCAGATTTTTACATCTACACAGATGTAAAATAGTGAAGCAATTTGCTGTTTAAGATTTTAGGCTTTTCTTCCGAAGTATCCAGGGGTAAAACAAATGACATGTATCAATGCATAAGATGTGCATATATCCATCTATAAAGTTATTGACATGTATCTTATAGAGGGATCTATTTTCCTTAGCATGCATGCTCCATTACCTAGTTGCAAGACTGTACTCATGTCTGAATCTAACTGACAGTATGCTTATATGCTCTCTAGAAAACAGGGGAGGGCAGAGAAGCAGAGGCAGTTTTAGCTAGATTATTTTCCATGTGAGAACCTACCCTTTGCTTTCACTACTTAAACTTCCATTTCTGACAAACAGCTTAAAAACATTAATCAAATTCGTAGGCAGACTGACTCCTGAGGATGACATCCTTTAAAAGGCACAGCCTTGCTTTACTGTTGCATCTTGTCTTTCTTCAGAAACACTCTACACAAAATACACACATGAGTGAAATGATTTAGTTTTGAGAATTTCATGGCACCTCTGTAGATGATTGGGGACATAATGTGAAGTCATAAGATCATACTTGGGAACAATCATCATAAAAGAACACTTTCCTGGGAGCAATGAATGGTGCATGCCTGTAGTCCCCACTTACTTGGGAGGCTGAGGTGAGAGGATTGCTTGAGCCCAGGAGTTGGAGGTTGCAGTGAGCTATGGTTGTGCCACTGCACTCCCACCTGGGCAACAGAACAAGACCCTGTCTCAAAAAAAGAAAAAAAATAATAATACTTTCCACCAGTTACCCTAGTGGCGTATTACTTATCCATGCCTAGTCCATAGTCTGCTTGCCCTGCACTGAGACAGTGCTCTGGAATATGTTGGAAGGAGGGAAAAAAATGCACTTTAAACCTCACTGGCCTTCCTTGCTCTAACTTTTCATGATTCCTTGAATTTTCTTTGTGTGATGTAGCATGCATTTAGAAACAAGGTATTTTCCAGGCTCATTTTCATTTCTTATATTAATTTTATCTTCACTAAATCATATCAGAGGACAAGAATATATATATCCTGACTACTTCTAACTCTGCAGTTCATTCTCTGTGTAGTCGCCATGTCACTTGTATATGCCGATGAATCATTTTAAGCTGTGCCCTGAACTCATTTTCTCCAGATACATGATAGCAAGTTCTTTTGTTGTTTTCGTTTTGCTTTTTAAAAAATGCATATACCCTCTTTGTAGGTGGTGCTACATGAATCTGTAGTCATAGAGAAGCCAAATTACAATGTGGTGATGGGAGGTAGTGAGGGGAGGGAGGATGCTATTAATATCTTGGAAATGTATATTTTTAACTCATGAATAATTTACAAGGTTAATAAGTAAAGTTGGGATTTTGAGATATCAAACATTTCTTGCCTTCATAGCCCATGGGGTGGGTTTTCCTTGGATGTTTTCATACAGTGACTTGCTAACCGAGAATTCCTGAAAATTATTTCTAGGTAAAGGTTTCATTCTATACAGAAAATATTTTAACGTTCTCATTAAGTTGATAAAACAAATGCTGATCTTAAAGAAAAGATCCTCCTTATCTTTCTCCCTTTCCCTCCCTCCCTCCTGTTTGTCTTTTTCCTTCCTTCATTCCCTTCCTTTCTGTTTATGCTTCCCACAGCATAGTTCAGTTTGGCCCTTTCATTGTTCCTTTGCTTAATTGTAGAGACTCCAGTGCTTCACTTATTTGGGAAAAAATTGAAGAGCCATCCATAGATTGTCACGAATTTGAGGAATTATTTTCTAAAACTGCTGTAAAGGAGAGAAAGAAACCTATTTCTGATACTATCTCAAAAACGAAGGCTAAACAAGTGAGTATTCTTGTGCTTTCTGAATTTGGACAGTGTTTCTGGCATAAAGTGTGAACTTCCATTGGAGAAAAACTTTGGAATAGTTTCTGGGCTGTGTAAAACCTCCATGGACCTGACACGGAGAGCAAAGGTTAGAATATTAGAACATGGGGTTAAGTAAGACTAGTCCAAACAGAACAACAAATAATCATGTCCATCACGGGATAATGCCCTCTTCTATTTGTAACTTCATAATACATATTTCCAAAATCTCAGCCATCGTTTCTTTCCAGAACTTGTTGTCTGAAAGTAAATTTTCACTTGATTTAAGTCCATCTGAGTGCTAGTATGGGTGGGAAGAAAGGAAAGAGTGGGCAAAGAAAAGTAAGCAAGAAGTTCCATCCTCAGTCACCGATAATGTGTTTGGTGTTTCATTGCATTATAACCGAAGCGCACGCTATTAAAATCCAGCTAAATAGTCACGTTGTGCTTGAAATATGGAAGAAAATCTCGTTTCCATTTCTCACGTCTCCATTCCATGTTAGATCCTTCCATCTAACCCGTGACACTTGAGTAAGAGAAAGTTAAGATTGGTGCATTTCGAGAAAAACATTTTCAAGCCACATTTTTCAACAGATTTATCCATTGGACTTGATCATAAAATGATGTTGTTTTAAATTTCTCAAGGCTGTCCTTCAGGAAGCTGTAGTAAAACCCCACAATAATGAGCTCCAGATAGGAGGAATTACTATTGGTGCCCATCTTTTACCCTGAAATGGGGAGTGGCTACATTTACTAACTTTTACAAGGTGGTGGAAAAGAGGGCGGGCGTCAGGGCAAAGGAATGGCAGACAGCTCAGTCTTGGGAGCAGAGGAGGGGAAATGAGGCCAGTGTCTCCAGTGTTTCTCTGGCCCTGTCTGCTCAGATGAGTGCCAAGGAATGGGGTGATTCCTTGAATTTTTGTCTCTGACCCCAAAGTTGTAGTTAGACCCAAGTTGTTACCATTGATATTTATTTCAGAGCAGACAACTCCCATCAGATGGACCCTGCCAAATACAGCCAGGAAGGGACGGATTTGAATGGGACAACTAGACTCCTGGAACCCACAGTTGGCTGGGTGGGCAAGCTCACCCTGGGCATTTCATTAATCTCAGAATAACACAAACCCAAACTTTATGCGGTTGAATTTTTCAGAACTGTTTACTGCATTGCAGCTGGTTGCTAGTGACCGTAGGTCAGTAACTACAGTAAATGAGACAGTGCCTGGCACATTGTAGGCACTCAATAAATATTTGTTAAGTTAACGAACCAGCCAACAGAGGGAGGAGGACTTTTTAAAAATCAGCCAGTAGGCCCAGTAGTGATTGAAAACCAGAAAATCATTCTTGTAATAATAATCAATAAGTCCAAGGTGACAGTGTTAAGAGGATTAAAGATAAACAGAGAACCACATTTTCTCTGGCAGAGATAAATATTTTAAAAACCTTTTCCATGGTATATTTGCATTATAGCACACTGAGGCTGAGTCATCATATCTCTTCTCACAGACCGTATCAGAGATGGAAAAGCTGTCTGGGCAAGGTATGTGGGAGGAGAGTACAGACATCGAGGAGAGTCAGGCAGCCAGAATTGTCACTTGAAAAAATGGGCAGATGTGGCACGGGACATCTCTTGTCCAGGGACTAAATGTTCAGAAAATCAAACCATGCCTTCCCCACATCCCAACACCCCCCACCTTTTTATTTGCTAAGGGACTACAGATAAGGCGGATGTCTTCCAGTTGCCTGAGACTATAGGATTTCATGCTCTAATTGACGTAGTATTCAGCTTATAGCTCACTGAAATGTGATTTGTATCTAAATCATCAAAACTTCAAATTAAACAAGTTGGCATGACACGGCCTCTTTGCATATAAACAGTTGCTTCTATGTGGAGCATCATCTCAACATAGTCACCTCACTCTGTCACTAAGACATTTCATAAACTGTGGGCTAGAGACTTTGCCAACGTTGTCATTTGCACTTACTGATAGCGATGCTACTGATGACCTTCAGCTTCAAACAGGGTTCATGGAACAGTCTCCATCATGACTTCTAATAAGCTTATTCAGCAACTCCTGGGTCTTGGTACTGAGCTCTGTACTTCAGGTCTGTTTTTGGAGGAATAAAAGTATTTTTTTCCCCCTGTCTGTTAGAGAAAAGTCACTGCAAAGTAATATATTACTGAAGAAACTTAGTTTTATTTAACTTCATTGTATTTGGAAAAAAATCTATCCTTTCCATTTACTAGGGACATTTAAAATTTTATTTAAGGAAACTATATTTTCAGGATGCATGCAGATAGTTCCTCTTCTTATGGGAAATGTATACTGATTGTATATGCAGACATTTTGGTAGCTCATAATTCATTTCCAGTAAAATTAATAGCGTTTAATGCTGTGGCATATGTTTATGGAGGTATTTCAAGCAATTCTTCTTATATACAATGGAAGCTGGAAGTTCTGTTTTTCTTTAAATATTTAAAAATGGCCAAATAATTTTCCTGTGATCTGTCTTCTTGAAAGTAAGACTGTGGTTGAATGCACTGGTATTTAACGAGGTGCCTGGGCTGTTTTTACTGTCAGGGCAGAGACATTTTCAGTGTGATAGTAGAAGATTCCTCAGCTGGGCACACTGCCGTTTGGCATAAGGAGGAAGAGGGGTTATTTTCTCTGGACACTCAGACTAATAGCAATGTTGAAAATCTTGTATTTCTAAATCCCTTTTTCTACAAGGAACTTAGGACAAAGCATTTTATATTTTTCTCGTGGAACATGTATTTAAGTTTGTTCTGTGATGATTTCTTCATTTATCCTTCTTGGTTTTGAAGTATTACATGTAAGGAGATTAGCTGAGAAGGTATATGAAAGTTTATCAGATAGCAGTTTAACATAGTTCTTTATAACCAAATGAGTTTGACACTTCTACATCAGAATTGTTAATTAACATTCTAACGTAAAACAATGATACCACTTAAGGAATAAAGAGGAAAAAAGAAAAAGCAATTTCACATGAAGCCCATGTTTAAGCATTGACACACGTACACACTTGCCTGCTTTTAAGGAAGGCTCTAGAGCTAGTAAACATTTGGTCCAATCTCTTCTCTATTTCCAGGGTAATTCAGTGATTATTAATGTTGATAATCACCCTAAGTCATCTCAGGATCTTTGGTGCTCAAAGATTGAATTAAGTTTAACTCGAGCTTATGAGCATGAAAGTGAGAGAATTTACTTTGGAACAATTTCGATAATAAGGATTGCCTCAAAAAAGTTTCTAGGCTGGGCGCGGTGGCTCACGCCTATAATCCTAGCACTTTGGGAGGCTGAGGTGGGAGGATTCCTTGAGGCCAGGAGTTCGAGACCAGCCTGAGCAGAAGCAAGATCCTGTCTCTACAAAAAAAATTAAAAAAAAATTAACTGTGTGTCTGTAGTCCCAGCTACTCTTTGAGAGGCTGGTGTAGGAGGATTGCTTGAGCCCTGAAATTTGAGGTTGCAGTGAGCTATGATGATGCCACTGCACTCTAGCCCAGGAGACAAAGTCTCAAAAACCCTGTCTCAAGGAAAAAAACAAAACAAAAGGTTTCTGGTTAATCCTGTGTCTAATGAAATCATAAGGAAATAGAATTTGGGCCAGGTACGGTGGCTCACACCTGTAATCCTAGCATTCTGGGAGGCTGAGGCGGGGGGATCGCTTGAGCTCAGGAGTTTTTGAGGTTGCTGTGAGCTAGGCTAATGCCATGGTTCTCTACCTAGGCAACAGAGCAAGACTCTGTCGCCCCCCCAAAAATAAGTTGGTAAATATGGTAGTAGTAGTAATTATGACAACAACAATAATAATAACCATGGAAACCTCAAGTCATATAGTGCCAGTTATTTCGCATGTACCAGTTATTGTTTTTAGCTCTTTAATCCTCTTATTCTTATCAGATAGGCACCATGATCCTCAGTTCATAGTACAGAAGACTGAGGTATAGAGGAATTCAATAATGTTCCCAAACTGGTAAGGGGCTGAGCTCAGGTTCAAACTCCAGCCATCTGGCTCCAGAGCCTCTGTTCTTCCTAATTAAGTAATAGTCACAGACGTGAAATATTTTATATGAGTGTAAGTACAGTATTTTATTCATATGGAGACCAGAATATATACTTTTAAAAAAGAATTTGAATTTGTATTGGTTTTCACATATGATCAACATTTAAATGACTGCAATTACACTTATAAAAGTGTATGTGAAGACACTTTTAAAACCTTTTTCATCTTCTAACAGATTCTGACAAGTACATAAACTATGATGCCACTGAACATGACATTTGCCCAGTTAAATAAAAGTTTATCTGAGTGATGTGAGCTTTAGACATAGAAGCTTCTGTAAGTGGTAAAAATTAGGGCCATTTGCTTGTGTGGCACATAAATAGTGGTTAGAGGCCGACAGCCACCATGGTTAAACCTCACCAAATGTCAAGTGATGATACTTTTTATTCACCCAATGACACAAAAAGAACCATCTTTGTAAAATATGCCTTAAGTAAATAATGTCTAAACACGTTTAAAAGATGTATAAAGGAACGTGCTACCCACGATGCAAATTTGCACACGGAAGTTAACAAGAGTGAATAAGAATCTGTGTTTTTTAAATTTCAAATTATTATGGGGGTACAAATGTTTTAGGTTACATGGATCATCTTTACAATGCTTGCGTCCTGGCTATAGGTGTGCCTGTCCCCCAAGTAGTGTTCTTAGTACCTGTTACAATCTGTGTTGTTTTTTAAAATACATAACTGACATTTGTCTAACCATTTAGTGTAACACAAATGAATCTCTTCATGAGTTTCTCCTACTTATCGGATGAAAATGCTTTGTCCCAAGAATGGGAGAGAAACATTATTTATGATAGTTAAATGTTTGTTAGGTTTCAGCCTCTGGAAATATGATTAGAAAAATAGATCATTAAATCCGCTACTTTTTATGTGAGGGGAGGTAATAAA